TAAAATAAAAGTTTCGGAAAAACTCACACATTAAAATGGGAAATTGTCAAAAGCGAAAATATTTCATATTTCATTATTGACGAAAATTACTTAATTACTTAATCATTTTAATCTAATTAAAAAATTAACTAAATCATTTTTTTTTTTTGAAAACAAAAATATAAATCGTAAATTGAGAAAATAATTTCATAAATTATAAATTTATGTAAGTGGAAATTTTAGTATGATTCAATTAATAATATGGATAGGCAACCTTTTTGATTTTATAATTATCTAAAATGCTAATTATATCATTTCTAATAAAAATAAAATTTTTAAAATAGTGCACAAAATAAAGTGAAAATTTTAATGATAATAAATTAATTAGTTAATTGAATATTAAAAACACAACTTTCTTGATTTTATAATTATTTAAAATACTAATTATATCATCTAATTATTGATAAAAATAAAATTTTTAAAATAGCACACAAAATAAAGTGAAAATTTTAATGGTATTAAATTAATTAATTAATTGAATGTTAAAAGCATAACTTTCTTGATTTTATGATTATCTAAAATGCTAATTACATCATCTCATCTCTGATAAAAATAAAATTTTTAAAATGGCACACAAAATAAAGTGAAAATTTTGATGATAATAAATTAATTAATTGATAGAATGTTAAAAGCACAACCTTCTTGATTTTATAATTATCTAAAATGCTAATTATGTCATTTCTGATAAAAATAAAATTTTTAAAGTAGCACATACAATAAAGTGAAAATTCTAATGATAATTAAATGTTAAAAGCACATATAAAAATCTTATCGATAATTTTTGAAATCAATTAAAATCAGTAATTCGATATCAACAAAATTGCTCTAAAGAAGTACGGCGGAAAAAAAGGCAAACATAGAAATTCAAAAGTGAAAAATTAGAAAATGTTATATTACAAAAGAAATGAATCATAATATAGGATTGGAAAAGGAAGTGGAAAAATTCAACGATCAATTTTTCCACTCTTTCACTGATTAATTTACATTCTGTAAAATGAAATACTTCATTATCAATTTTAATAACATTAAATTCTTACAGTACTTTAATCTTCCAAAAGTCATTACATTATTTAGACAATTTATGTTAAGCCTAGGGGCCTATCATCCAGATAAGATAAGTCTGGAAGCATTTTGTCATTATTATTAATTATTAATATTATCATTATCATTATCATTCTAAATAGCCTTAGACTAATATTCCATTTTACAACTAATAAATCTCTCTTTATCATATCTCACATATCAAATCTTCATTTACCAATGAAAGTATATCCTCAATATATAGCTCTTATCAAATCCTAGCAGTGAAAATTTAAAAGCTATAAATTATAACATAAATAATTCAATTCATATTCATTGATTTCATATTCCTAAAATCTCTCTTTCGCTATCTTTCCTTTTTCAATTCAAACTAACTTTTATTATTTTACATTTAATTTTTTACGACAATTTTTATTTCTAAAAAAAGACAGTCAGTCGAAAATTTCTTTATTGCAAAATCATTTCTATTTTGTCTTATAAAAAATTATTTCTAAACTTTTTTCCAACCATAAAAAGTGTAGAAATATAAAAGGGAAGAGATGATGAAATGGGGGAAATGATTAAAACATATTTAATGTAATTTAAATTTCTTAGAACCGTAATGATTATTTGATTTCCAACTTAATTGTATTTATGAGAACCATATGTTGATGATAATGGACTAATTACTTTTTTTTTAGGTATTTAATTTAAAGTAATATTCAATTTCTATTAAAATGCTTTTTATACCTGCGGAAATATTTATTTCTTCACTTATCAACAGTTATTTCACTAATGACAGTCATTTAATTGTAGCTGAATGATTGAATGACCACTTACTTCATTGGTCAGCTGCTTCTAAAAATAACAACTTTTTATAATTGAAAAAAGAAAGATATAATTATTCTGTGTTGTTGAATTGAATAAGTTTCCATTTTTACTATTTACGCATATCAACAGAAATTTTGAGTTATATTAAATTAATGTAATTATATATCAACAGTTATTATTATTGCAAAAATGAGTATTCATTTTATAGTTTATTCAACTTATAAGCAAGAATTGGGAGATGTAAAAACTACTTTTTCTCTCGGTATTTCTCGGGAAGGATACAAATATATCTGCTGGCATATTTTAACATTTTAAAATTTCTAATATTTCAATTAATTGCATTAACAGTGGAAATTTCTTCGTTGCAATTTATTAATGAAACTAATGATAATATGGCAAAAGTTTTAATTTGAAAAAGTTGAAAAAGAAATAGAACTTGTTTTGATGGTGTCAGAAATAATCTTAATTATTTAATTTAATTTCACTAAGCTTGAATCACTTTAGAATTTGATTAAACTATATTTTCCAATTTTCTTCACTAATAACATTTTATAATCATCTGCTTAAAACAAAAGAAATCAAATTTCACTCGTGAGATTTGAAAATTTTCAAGCCACACATTTGTATTCTAATCTTTTTTATTTTAAATTTTAAATAATATTATTTCCTAAATTTTTGAATTTCAAAAAATTATTTCGATAATTAATAAATTAATGATAATAAAAATATCCGTTCAAAAACAAAAATGCGATAAACAATGAACGATATAGCATTTGTTGTAATCATTAACTTTTGCAACTTTAAAAATTTTCATTTCTCTTATTGACAACCTCCAACTTATCAATCATCCCATTTGTGGAGACATTTTCAATCTTTGCTTACGGCAGACAGGTATGTTCGAAAAACTTAGGAAAAATCAAATGAACTGGAAAAAAGAAATCCCAATGCTTCATTAAGAAAATGAATAAGCGAAAAGGTAAGTTTCCAAGTAGTGAATTTTTGATACGAATTGATTGATTGTATTTAAATTATCTAACTTCTATCTATTTTTCTTTTTTTCATATCCATACATCAAATTTAAATTATTCCAATTCCAATTTAAGCATTTCAAAATTATCTAACTTCTATCATCTATTTTGCTTTTGTTTTTTCATATTCATACATCAAACAAAGTTTATAATTAATAAGCTTATAATTAATATTTAAATGAACAAAAAAAGAAAATTTGTTGAAAGTTTTGTTTTACCTAAAAAATCTCAAATATTTTATTAATTGAAAATCAAATAACCATTAAAAAAGAATTTAGTAATTAAAAGGGAAAAATGAAAAAAGCTGCTTGCTATTGTTTTTCTTTTTTGTTTTTCAATTAAATTGCTTTTTTTCTCTTTTAATTTGTTTAAATTTTCTCACTAATATTACACCTGCCAAATAATTAAACTTAATTGCTATTAATAACACTTATTCGTGCAAATATCAATTTTGTTTAATTTTCCATTAATATTACACCTTACCAAAATAGTATCCATTTTTTAATTGAAATCTGTTGAAATTTAATTAAACTAATGAAATTAATTAAATTGAAATAATTAAAATCTGAGAGTTAAAATAATTTCAATTTAATAAAAATGTTTATTAAGAAAATTATTATTTGGAAAGTGTAATATTAGTGGAAAATTAAGCAAAATTCTTATTCACAGGAACAAGTTTATTAATTGCAAATAAGTTTTTTCATCTTTTCCTTTTTGCCAAAAATCTGATAGTATCTGAAAACAACTGGCCATATCACTAAAATATTATTATTATAAAGAGTGGAACAGAGAAAATGAATTTCTCAATTCATAATCCAAAAATCATAATCAAATATCGTAATTTGTCTTTTAATACAGTAATCGTAGTATTTCTTTTTTCCACCTACATTTTATCAAATAATTAAATAATATCATGGAATTCATTATTTTTTAAAAAATTAAAAAATCGATTATCGATTTGTTTCCAAGAAGGAATGCCCAAATTTGATTGTTATTTTACTTCAGAAATTTCAGTCATATTTAAACAAAATTTCCAACAGATAACAATTCACGTAGATCAAATACACACGTATGACGTACGTCACGCAATATTTATGAATATAAATTTTGAAAGAATTAAAAATACTATATTATTGAAAAGAAAATATTATGAAAAACTTCGAGTAGAGAGTTTTGGTGTAAATTTCAAAGAATAGAAGAAGAATTAACTCAATCTGTTGACATTTAACCTTTGATACCTTAGGAGAGTGTTTAATGAAGTAAAAAATTTCAATCAGAAACGCTTAGCAAAATATTGGAAGGTTATCATGAAATATCAGTAATATCATTACTTTAAAATGCAGCACATACAAAAATTGCTGAAAACGATTTTGTCGTTATAGAGAAAGCTTTATCATATTTAAAAATAATTTAAAACGAGTGTAGTAAATGAAAAATAAATCACATAATAATAATTTTTTAGAAAATCAATTCTAAAATTTCGGAAATACCAACAAAACAAATTTCGCATCCGATCATATATCGTTTTTCTTTTTATTTTTTTCAACAGATACACATTTAATAACAAGTTTTGATTTCTGGCTATAACAAATAATTAGCATCGTTGGTACGATAATTCGACAATGGCACAAATTACATCCTTAAATTTGTTAAATTTCCTAAAATCTTAAATAGTGATGAAATTTAGGCTGAAATAGAGCATGCTAAGTTTATAAAATGATTTTAAAACATTTGAACCGTATCATTTTGTTATTATTTATTTCATATCTGATCACATTGTTTTTTCTTTCTTCTTTTAACAGTAGCACAAATTATAAATTTAAGTTTGTAAAATTTCTCAATAATTTTTGGAAGGGATGGAATGAAATATTTAAAGCTTAAAATGTTTTTTGATAAACTGAAAAGAATATTACAAAATTTATTTTCGAGAAAGTCAAGTTCCATCACTTTTCATTCCGTTCTTCTTCCGGAAGTAAAAAACTATTTCAGTATTTTTTCAATTTTCTTTTTCCTACATCTCTTTGAATGCAAGATTTCAATGAAATTTTCAACACTTCAAAAACAAATCCTATTTTTCTTCTTTCAAACGGGATCAGAAATTAATGGCAAAATTTTATTACTGCACGAAGTTTTAGAAGCAACAATCCTGGATGCATTTCCTGAATCTATATTTACTGTGACGCATTGAGGCATCCGTCTATCGGATACGATATCAAAATCCAGTGATCTTCTACCTACCCTTACCGGTACGCCAAAATCCAATTGCAATCGATCCGGATTCATTGATTGCAATTCACCGACGTTATTGGTATACCTATCCATCATTGGTATAAAAGTTGATTGTAATGTTTTACTACAATTTGAATTCTGAAAAGAAATAAAAGTTTTCAAAAAATCTTGAATATCCTATTAATTAGATTCATTTATTCATTGAAATACATGGTAAAATTTAATAATTTTAAATCTTCTTCACGCTTTAGACTTTCAAATCTTTCTAATTAATCAACCGATAATTTATGCTTTTAATTTGTCTCAATAGAAAACTTCAACTAATATAGCATTCCATTATAGGTTACGGAAGATATTTATCACTACAATGTATTTTAGCAATGTATTTTATTCATTTATTAACTAACAATTTAAATAATAAAACTTTGCATGAAAGTGAAAAGTTTACTTTTCCACTCTCGTCATCTATTAGTTGCTTCGAAGTAAGTGCTGTTTCGTCGATTTTTGCATATTTCATATTATCTTCTTCTCTTCTAAATGGTATTACGAAAGGTCGAAATTGTTGGGGCAATAAATTGCCTTCTTTGGAAGAGTTTTCTGAAAGTGATATTGCAGATGTGGTGAATATTTTTACACATGAGAGCAAATTTCGTGATCGGCTATAACTTACTAAAAGCAATGGTAAAAGAATTGTAGGATTGTAAATGATCCAATTATAAAGTACAGTATGCAAATTTGAATATTAAATATCAGCTTTGGAATGTAAAAAACTTACCACCATTAGAAAGTTTCCTTTTACGTTGTCGAATTAACATTGAGTCATTATCAGGTTCATGTCGATCGCAAAGTGCAGCATTTCGTTCACGTAATTGTCGATTAGCACGTGTTTGAATTTTCCACTTTGTTATTGCTTTTGTAACAGTTGCAAAAGTTCTGCAGAGAAAATAATGAATCAAAATTTCATTTTACTCTAATTAATAAATTAAATGACTTAATTAGTTGCATTTCAATATGATATATTTGTAAAGAGATATGAAAATAAGTTTTTTGCAAACTTTGATGATAAAGGTTTTTCAAGATGATATCGCGCAATGTTAGTGCCAGCTAATCCATGTTCTACAGCATCAGCACCAATCTGCTCCTCGTAATCTGTAACCCGTATCCCAAGAGGACTACTGCCCAAGATCTGTAAAAGAAGAATGATCAATTAGTTTCGAATAAATCAAATTATTCCTTCCTTCAAATAATGCTTAAAATACACAATAGTCGTAAATATTACGGTACAAAATTAATTACGGTATAATACAGTAATTAATAAATTATTAATCGATAAGATAAGAAAATGCTATAAAGAAAGGATGCAAAAAAGATAAGGAAATAAAAACAAAAGTTAAAATAAAATTTACAATGAGCGCAATAAGTCCAACGATGACACCATAGATCAAAATAGTTACTGTACAAAGCATTTGTATTGCAAGCAATTTGAAACTTCCCGAATATATCAAACCATAATTTCCACTTGTTAGCTCCTAAATATTTGAGAAATAATTTTGATAAGAATTTCTTTCTTCTACAAATTACTAAATATTATTGCTAACTATGAAATATTCCCATCTTTTTCCACTGTTGAATTAATTAATTAGTAATGAAAATTTTAATAAAATAATTATCATTTTTAATGAAATTACACATACCAATACTTGATCATCCTCCGCAAAAATACCAACTGCACACATACCCCATATAGATGATGTCAGATGAATTGGTACGATTCCAACCGGATCGTCAATTTTCCAAAATTCCAATACCGGTATTACTAAGATGGAAATGGTTGAACTGATTGCACCGATCAATAATGCATGCCAGGGTCGTCCAATAGCACAAATTGCTGACAAAAATTTTGCATTTCATCAATAAAATTTGATTAAAATGAGGTGTATAAGTTGATAATATAATATTTTAGTAAATTAATAAAACTTTTTTTTACTAATTAATTATCAATTAGCAAAATTAAGAAAAGAAGATAACTAATGAACACCATTGTTTTCATAGGAAACATTTTAAAAATACAAAATTAATTTAATTAAATTTTTAAATTAAAATTAATAAACTCATTTAATATTTTCTTTGAATAAAATTTTTGATAAATTATTAAATTAAAGCAAATTTAATAGAATGAATTCAAAACTCTTTTAATAATTTTAATGAATTATTTTATAATTTCTTCTTTTCAAACATTTTAACAAATTTCTATTTTTTCAATTCAACTAAAATATTGCTAACCTAAATGTAACCTTAAATTAAAATTCAATTAAAATTATTGCTAATTTGAATTTAAAAAAAAGATCGTAAGATACATGAATGATGATATAATCTATGTAAATTCAATAAAAGTTTACCTGTAATAGCAACTACTGAAGAAAGTAATCCAATGATTAGATAATTAACTTGTAATTTTTTTGTTTTAGCAAAACTAAATGTAATTGAAGCGGCACCGCCACCGATTGAACTCATAATTGTTGCCACCGATGCTCTAAAATATTTACTAATCTTGTACAACATTCAATTCAACTTACTTAAATTTCAATTTATTTATTACTTCTCGATTAATAACATTTAATATTTGTCTAAATTAAATTTCAAAATTTTAAAAAATTTGAAAGAATAATAAATATATTAAGCCATTTCAGCACAGAAGAAAAAGTGCAAAAAGTTTTTCAAATATTTAATTAATTTTCGAAAAACAATGAAAGCGTAGAATAGAAAGAAATATTTGATTATTTCCAACTAAAAAATGAAATTATCCGATTAATATTTTAATAATATTTACCTCTGTGATTACCTTAAGTATCTTAATATATATATATTAGATATAGATTTACCTGGCTGCAAGTCGCCAACGACCATTTGTAACACCCCATGCTGATCCAGAATTAATTCCAAACCAACCCCACCAAAGCATAAAAGTTCCAAGAAGTGCATTTGTCGGTGAACTCATTTGATGCACCGAATTTTTATTGAATCGATTTCGACGTGGCTTTAAATAAATGGTAGCCACTAAACCAATGATACCACCAACCATATGAATCTGAAATTTAAGCAACTTCATTATCTTCATATTATTTGCTGTATGTCAGAATAGAAGTAAAAAATGCAAATTGTAGTAATTGATCTGAAGTTTGATACGCATATTTAATACTTATAATTTTCATTCATTTATGTTTTTCTTTTTTTACTACATTCGACAAAAGATCAAAACGTTATACAAAATTATATGCATATAATTATTGCAATATTTACTTTAAAATTAATATTTTTTATACGTACACGTAATTATTACGTGATTTACGTCAATTTGATATATTTTGAATTTTTTTTTTTGATAATATGATATTTCAATAGTTTATGTTCTTTTTATCATATAATAAATTAATTAATTACACATGAGCAGCCAGCAAAATCAACGACGCCTAATTTGAAGAATATTCCTTGACTATCCCATACCCAATGTGACGGTAATGCTTGTATTAAAATTACAATACAACCAAGTAAAATATATGATCGAAGTTTAGCACGTTCAGCTATAGCACCTGAAAATTTTTTAAAATTATCATATAAAATAGTAATTAATTATTGAAAATTAAAATTCGATAAAAATTTCTTTTTGTCGTAAAATTTTACAAATAAAAGAAAAAGGAACAATAACTTAAATTATGTCGAAAAGCTTTTCATAATTTTTAAATTATTTTTAAGTAAAATTAAATTTGAATTTTCATCAAATGATTACAATGATTATAACATATCTAAATTTATGGATCTTTGTGTGGAAAACTTTTTAATTAAAAAAGCATATCATCCTATAAGCATCGTACCAGAAACAATTGTTGATGAAGTTGTCGCAAAACTAAGTTGAAATAAAAAGTTTGCATAGGCCCACCCTTCATCACGTGGTGAATCAAAATCTCTGAAATTGATAAACTTACATTAAAAAATTCATCTTATCAAATATGATGAAGAAGAATGATTAATTAGATGAATTGAAATGATAATAGTAAATATCACAGTTTCAAATAAATTCAAATAATTTTATAAATTTCTTAAAACTTTCTAATTGATAAATTTGTAGCGATGCATAATTTTGATATTATTTAAAACATCCCATAAATCAGTGATAATTTTTGGAAAAAATTTTTTAAAATTTAATTTTAAATCGAAAAGTTTTTCAAATTTTAACATGCAGAAGTTTCTTTTCTTAATTTCAACAATTCCATTTTTCCCATTCTTCCAAAACAATTCACTAAATTATTGTCCATTTATCACAAAGAACATTTTGTTGTGCAATTGTGTAATTTACGATTAGTTTTATTCAAATAACAAATACGCCACAAATTAGCTTCCTCGAAGGAAAACAAGGCGAAACAACAACAACAACAACAACAACAACAACAACAACAACAACAACAACAACAACAACAACAACAACAACAACAACAACAACAACAGCGACAACAAACAACAGTGACACATTTTAGTTATACGAAATATTGATTATATTTGAGAATTTATTTATTAACGAAAAAGAAAAATTTTTATTTTAAAATTTTCAAAATTTTTATTTCAAGTTAATAATTTCATTTCAAATATTTCAGTTAACAATAAGATTTGTAAAGAATTTAGCAAAATGATAAGGTGATATAATATCATATGATATGATATAAATGATATAAAATGATATGAACGATATAAAAAATGGTATATTTCAGTTATGCTGCAAAATGAAAAGATTATAATAGAATGGAAATATGAAATGATTAGAAATCAAATTTGAAATGCTTATCATTCGATAATATCTGTTTAATATTTTCGAATATATAAAAATATTTTCAACAGTGAGATAAATAAATTATATCATTAAATTATAATTTCTAACTTGAAAATCGAAAAACTTAATTCCAATCAATTCATTCATTGATCGATAATTTGTTAATTAATTTTAGTAATAGAAACAAAACATTTACTTAAGCGATTCTTTTTTTTTCCAATTTAATGTAACATTTTAAATTTTATGGAAGCTATATATATATATTAAATAAAGCATATTTGTGTTTTAAAATAATATCAAGAAGATGTTTTAGTAATAAAATGAAAAAGAGAAATTCATTCCAGCCGTTTAGATTTAGGTTGTGATAGTAAAATAAGCTAAAAAGTAATTTCCATACAATTTTTCATCTCAGATATTTGAAACATTTTTATAAAATGATAAAATGATCATCAGCGTTTGAAAATTTTGTAATTGCTTTTAAAATTTTATTTTAAATCTAAAGAGGAGATATAATTAATTAAAGATTAATTAATTTTTAAATTAATTAAATCTTTCTTTTTGAGAATTTTTGACAAATTGGTCGGTTAATTTTGTTGTTCAATTTACAAAAGATTTAATTTGTTGATTTGCAAAATTTAAATTTTTAATTTTTAGAGAAAACGAAGAAAGCATACCTTTGAGGATTATAAAAAAATTTACCCCATCCAGTGATAGGATTACTATAAATTCCGTTACCAAAACTAAGTCCATAACCAAATGCCCAATATGCTAAACCACCGAATACCACATCAACAACATTCTTTATCATAACATTTACTTCATCTTTTGCTGATACACTACCACTTTCTAATAAACCGAAACCTAAAGTAAATTTCAAAATAAAAGTTTTAAAATTTTCAACAAAATCTTTTTTCGATTTTAATTCTAATAATTCAATAATTTTTTCTAATAATTTAAATAAATCCAACAATATTATAAGGTTAAAAATATTTCCAATTTATATTATATTATTATAATTTGCTAATAAAAAATTTAATAAAATTTTGGTAATTAGAATAATTTAAGGATATTCAAAGAATAGTACCAGAATGCATAGTAAAAATGATGAAACTGCTGGTAGTAATCCATACCGCATCATCCTGATATAATTTTTCAACTTCCAAACTATACGGTAATTTAGCATTGATTGAATAATGCTTCGTTTCTGAAATAATATTATATTTATTAAAACGAGATTTACTATATTTTTATTGATGAAAAGAGAAGGTGAAGAAAAAAAATTCGAAATTTAATTAATTAATTAATTAATTAATTGACAAATATACGTATTTAAGCATTTATCCATTTATATTTCATAATGCAAATATGCCATTTTAAACGAATTTTATTCTTTTGAAATTAATTTAGCTTAAATTTCAAATCAGTTGCTAATTTAAGATTTTCTGATATTAACAATGCATTAATTATACTATTTCCAAACAAAATACACTTCATGTAAATTTATTTTCAATACTAAAGAAAATTAACTGAAATACTTTATAAAATTTAATAGCAAAACTTGAAAAGATCATTTATTACTTCAAATCTAATCTTTACATCATTTCATTTCAAAAATAACAATTACCGCATTATTGCACGAATGAGCAATTATAAGGCCAGATTGGTTTTCCACCTGTTTGTGAAACGTATACTTCTCGAATTTCAACCACAAAACCAAGCATGGTCCGGGTAAGTTATTGAATAACTTTAATTGTTCTGAGTGTTCCTGAATACATTTGTCAT